TTATCATCATTATTATCATTACTGCTATTGTGGTCCTTTTCATCTGATAGCACACATTCCTTAAATAATAATGATGAAAATAATAATAACCGAAAATGCAATAGTTTAGGCATTAATGATAAGAATTTATGACTTAATTACTTTTTGTTTATGAATACGTCCGTAGTTTTATTATGTCTGAATATTATGATACTTATAGAAAGAAATAATAACAAATCTGCCGCTATGGGTATTTTTCTCTTCTATTTTGGCAAAGTTTCACTTAATTTTTTTATTTACATTTTCAGTAATCTGTATTTATTGTTACTGAGGAGTTTAATCTGTAGCACCGTTTGTCCAGGGGGGGGGGGGGGGGGGTATGGGGACCCAAAGATACGTGTTAAATATTTACACGTAACAAACACATTCTCTGACAGCAGTGGCGTTAAAAAGAAAGTATGATTGCGAATGTGTTATCTCACAGCGAATAATAAAATAGTTTATAGTTTTTTTCTTTCACTTTGTCAACATGATATCTCCTTAGGGGAGGGGGAGGAGGTGATGTATCACTGGGGGAAGGGGAGGGGAAGATGTACCTTTTATTGTTTTATTTTGTTTTTCCAGTTTGGTGGGTGTGGTGAGAGGGAGGGAAGTGGGTAGGGGGTGTATCTGGAACTCTCCCCCTATAGTTACGCCATTGCTTGACAGCTGGAATGACAGTCAAGTATTCCTTTAAAAAAATCTTGTTTAAATAAAGGTTCATTTTGTAAGAAGCTTCTGGTTCAATACCATTTTAAACTTTTTTTGCTTTGTATTGTTTTCCTAATTCCTCTGGCCGGACAAAAACAAGAGAAATACACGTATATATATTCACACCTATATATGTTTTCCCTTTCAATGCTAACGTTTCACCGTGAGCGCCACCACAAGCCCTGCGAACTCCGAATATCTTCTCCAGTTCTCTCGTATGAGGATCTAACGAAGGCGCACGGGATCTACTCCTGCCCCGTCGCCTCAGGAGTACCGACGACATCCTGAAGGATCTCCGGGTGGCGCTGGGCTATTTTCCGAAGGATGGAGAGGCACTCAGCAGCAGGATCTCCTCGGCGGCGAAGCTTCTCCTCCTCCAGGTACTGCTGGCGACGCATCCTGCAAGGTGTGGAGGCCGGGAGTGAGATTCAGAGGCGTGAGGATTCACTAAAATATATATGCTCGTATACGCAAACTTACAAGTATGGGCAGGCGCATGCACATTGTACACACATATACACACGCACGTATAGACACACACACACACACACACATATATATGTGTGTATGTGTGTGCGTGTGTATGTGCGTGTGTGTGTGTGTGTGTGAGTGTGTGTGTGTGAGTGTGTGTGTGTGAGTGTGTGTGTGTGACTGTGTGTGTGTGTGTGTGTGTGTGTGTGTGTGTGTGCGTGTGCGTGTGCGTGTGCGTGTGCGTGTTCGTGTTCGTGTTCGTGTGCGTGTGCGTGTGCGTGTGCGTGTGTGTGTGCGTGTGTGTGTGTGGACGAAGACCGAACCTCAGATTATCCGACGTAGTGCTATCCAGCCGACTCAGATTCTCCCGGCTTCTGCCCGACTCCAGCCTCTCGCCCTTCCGCCTCTTGTTGATCTTGGCGAAGAGGAAGGGCGTGTTGTGAGGGCCGGAGAGGAGGCGCAGGCGGGCCGAGAGGCGCTGCAGGCCGGGGCACCACAGGAACATGGACTCGATCAGGAAGACGAGCTCGAGGCGCGCCAGGAGGGAGTAGAGAGCCGCGTCGCTGACCACTTGCTGGAAGAGGGACGCGAGAGGGGGGTTAGTTTTGGGTATTTAGGGGGTTTAAGGTTTAGGGTTTTAGGATTTTGGTTTAGTTTAGGTTATACATTTACGTGTAGTTGTAGTGAGTCTTAGTATAGGTTTGAGTTCTTAATTGGTTTAATTCTGGCTGAAAATTGAAGGACACGGGAGGTTTGGGTGTATAATGAATTTATGTTATAAGTTTAAGTTTAAATTCGGTGATGAAGGACCCGGGATTAGAGAGTTTATAGTGTTTGATTAGTTTATGCTAAATTATTAAGATTATGTCTGACTAGGAAATGGTAGTTAATCACTTTTGGGTGTTTATTTTGCTTTAGTTTATCGGTTTAAGTTTAGGTACTAACAGGTTGTTTATCAAATTACCTGTTTATAAAAGTTAGTTTACTAGCGGTCAAGTTTGCAAGAACGAAATAAAGGATCTGCGATGTAGTTTATTTAAGGTCAATCAGTGTTAGGTTATTAGTTTCGGCGTTTTTTTGCGATGCCATTTTACTTTAAATGTGTAGAGTTTAGGTTAATTAGTTTAAAGAAATTAACTTGGCAAAGAGGGACAGTAATAATTATGGTAATAATGATATAGTTAATAAATGGTGAAGGTGATGATGATGATAGTAATAATATTAATGATGATGATTATATTAGTAATAATAATGATGGTGATGATATTAGTAATAATAATGATGATATTCATAATAGTAATGATACTAATGATGATGATAATAGTAATAGTAATAATACTAATGACGGTGATGCTAATGATAAAGTTAATGATAATGATGACATCAATAATTATAATCTTAATGATAGGAATAATGGTAATAGTAATAACAACAGCGATGATGTTAACGATAATAATAATAATAATAACGATGGTGAAGCTAAGGATAACAATCCAAATAATAATAATGAAAATGACGTCAACACCAACACACACACAAAAAAAACACCACCAAAAAGACCAACAAACAGTGAAAACAAGCAAACTCACTTGTGTATCCGTGACCGCAAGGCCGTTCATCACGTTCATAAGGACAAGGAAAATGACGAAGACGAAGAGCAAGAACACCAAGACAGCTGACATCAGGAGGGCGATCTGCTTCGAGAACTCCTGGCTGAGGTCGGAGTACTCGAACTCCCCTGTCGCCATGACCACCGCCTTCGGGAGGGTCGTCCAGAAGGTGGTAAAATCTGTTTCCTGTGGGAGAGAGAGAGAGAATATAAATAAATGGCAGAGGATGGATAAATAATTGATTTAAAAAAAGAGAGAGAGAATATAAATAAATGGCAGAGGATAGATAAATAATTGAATTAAAAAGAGAGAGTGAGAGAGAGGGAGAATGTAAATAAATGGCAGAGGATAGATGAATAATTGAATTAAAAAGGAGAGAGAGAATAGAGATACATGGCATAGGATAGATTAATAATTGAATAAAAAATAGAGAAAATAGAGATAAATGGCAGAGGATAGATGAATAAGTGAATAAAAAGAGAGAGAGAGAATAAAAATAAATGGCAGATGATAGATAAATAATTGAATAAAAAAAGAGAGAGAGAATAGAAATAAATGGCAGAGGATAGATAAATAATTAAATAAAAAAAGAGAGAGAAAATAAGAATAAATGGCAGAGGATAGATAAATAATTGAATTAAAAAAGAAAGGGAATAGAAATAAATGGCAGAGGATAGATAAATAATTGAATAAAAAAAGAGAGAGAGAATAGAAATAAATGTCAGATGATAGATAAATAATTAAATTAAGAGAGAGAGAGAGAGAGAGAGAGAGAGAGAGAGAGAGAGAGAGAGAGAGAGAGAGAGAGAGAGAGAATAGAAATAAATGGCAAGGGATAGATAAAGAATTGAATAAAACAGAGAGAGAATAGAGATAAATGGCAGAGGATAGATAAATAATTGAAAAAAGACAGAGAGAAAGAGAGAGAGAATATAAATGAATGGCAGAGGATAGATAAATAACTGAATAAAGAGAGAGGGAGAGAGAGAGTATGCGGAAGAGAGAGAAGTAGAATAAATAAAAGAAATGTTGGAGGAGGGGATGGAGCTGGAGGAATAAGGAGGAGAGGAGGTGGTAGAATGGGGGGTGAAGGAGGCTGAGAAGGGGGGTGGAGGTGGAAGAAAGGTGAGAAAGGTGAAAGAAGAGAAGGAAGAAGAGGAAGTGGACGGGGCAAGAGAGGAGAAGAGGGGAGGAGGGAGGGCAACGAAGGAGAAAGGAGAGGATGAAGGTGACAGGCGAGAAGGAAGAAGGAGACAATGGAGGAGGAAGAGGAGGACAAGGGAGGAAGAAAAGGAAGAAGATGGGGATAAGAAAGGAGGAAGACGAAGATAGGTAGGACAAGGAAGGAGGAAGGAGGAAAAAAATAGATCCAGGAGGAAGAGGAGGCAGAGTGGTACAAGGGATTAGGAAGAGGGGACGTGAGAGGAGGAACAGGAGGCAATGGAGGAGGAGAGGGAAGGTATTAGCTAATATTGATATTAGCTAAGGTGGCTGGCGCGGTAGAAGGGACGAGGGAGATGGGGATGGAGGAGAGGGGAAGAGATCCTAGCTCATGGCTTTGGTAAAGGAGAGGGTGGAAGGAGGAGGAAGGACGAGAGAAAGAGGAGGAAGGGAGAAAGAGGAGGAAGGGAGAAAGAGGAGGATGGGGAAGAGGCAGAGTAGTGGAAAAGAGAGATAAGTAGTTGGTAGTGTAAAGGGGATATGATGGAAGAGAGGGGAAGGAGGAGAGGAGGAGGAGGAGGAGGAGGTGGAGGAAGAGGAGGAGAAGGAAGAGGAGGAGGAGGAGGAGAAGGAAGAAAAAGAGGTGGGGACTAGGAAAGGGAGGTGCAGCAAGAGGAAAAGGGGAAAGAGGAAGTGGACGAGGAAAAGCACAGGAAGAGAAGAGAAACAAACAGAAAGAGTGAGAGGGAGAGGAAAAGAGAAAAAAAGCAAAGTGAAAAAGAGAGAAAACGGAGAAAGGAGAAGGCAAAGAAGCAAGAGGAAGAAAAGGAGGCGTTGGTATAAGGCTGGTAGAGAAGGCAGATCAGCATCAACCAGTGGGGGCATTCAAAAGCCAAAATCTCTTGAAAAAATATCTGGTCGCTGGATTCTGCTGTCGAGTGTTAGAAATTATAGAAAACATCAAGGAGTGCGAATAAGAAGTGCTGCAGAGTAATAGTAATAGTAATGATTTCCTCAAATTAAGAATGTGACCTCGAAAATCTGTTTCAATGTGGAAATGATTTGATGCAGAAGAACAGAACAGTTATTCACTCTCTCTCTCTCTCTCTCTCTCTCTCTCTCTCTCTCTCTCTCTCTCTCTCTCTCTCTCTCTCTCTTCCTCTCTCTCTCTCACACACACACACGTACGTTACCCAGCGGTGAGTGACCAAGAAAAACTAATGTTTTTTTTCACTACCGTCCTTTCACTTACCTTATCAGCCTCAGTTGGCTGGAGGATGATGTTGAAGGAAATGGTGAAGGCGAGCAGCAGGGCCCCGTAGAGGAGGATCATCATGAGGAAGTTATAGGACACGTGTCGAAGCATCCTCACGTACTTGGCCAGGAGAGGAGCTCGGCCCAGGATCAGCACGAATTCGTACCTGCGAATGAGGAGGTTTTCGTACTCGCATTTCACATTGAAAAGAGAGTCAAAAAAGGAAAACATGATACTCATTTAGACATAAACGGGGAATTAATCTATTGTTGCTTTAAGACAGAATATTGTAAGGCGGTGATAGTACTGGATGGTAAAGGATACAAGTAATTTTGTTCATATCTCGTACATATAGGGAATCATCATTTAAGAAAACGCAAAACAGCAGAATTGGCGGAGAAAAATGTGTCCGTGTATAATGAAAGAACGAAATAAAACAAGAGGAGGAACTCACCAAGCCACGATCATCGCCCAGGCAGCTAGATGGCGCGTCGTGTCAGCGTCGAGATTAGCAGAACACAACACGAACACAACTATTACTAGGAACCACTCAAAATAATTCTCAACGTTCTTATAGTACGTGCTGAAGGTGAAGGCCACTTGGAAAACCTCGCGCACCAGCATATATAAGGTGAAGGGAATTAGGATAGCCATGAGCGAGTTCACGATCGTCTGCTGCGACTCGATCTCGTCCGTTAGGGTTGAGTTCGACGAGGCTCTGACCTCCAGTATCCTAAGGTCCTTGAGGCTGTAGACGAAGGCGGTGAGGATGAGGACGAATATGAAATAGAGGACGAGGTTGGCTATGTAATATGGCAATGCTTTGCGCCATTTGGCGTACAGGAAGGTTTCTACGAGAGGGTGTTTGATGGTGTCGCGATGTCGCTTGCTTTTGCTGATATCCATTAAGGTCCCTAACTCGCTAATTCGCTGCTGCTCGACATTTTGCTCCGAGCTACCTGGCGGAAGGAGAAATCTGTAGTCAAGTTTGAGAGTATAGTTGTCCCCGAGCATGTTCTCCAGCTCGGCCTCGACTTCGGCTTCGTCCGCGTTGGTTGGGAGGTTTGAGATGCAATTGTCCATCGCGCGTTCCAGTGTGCTCGGAAGGAGGGACGGGAGCACGTTGCCTCGGTCCGTCTCGTTGACTTTGCGGTGCGCCCCGAGGAAGGCGCCCTTGCTCAGCAGTTCGCACAGCATGTCCTGGTTATTGAAGGCAGCGGCCTCGTGCAGGATTGTCTGGCCGTGGAAGGTCTGGTTGAGGTTCAAGAGGACGTCATTTTGCAGGATCCTTTCCAAGCACTTCAGGTGGTCGACTTCTGGAGGAGCCCCTTTCTGCCGCCTACTATTTTCGATCAGTTTCTTCAGAATGTGAAAAGTGTGCTCCTGCAGATCCACCTTTTTGCTCGCGTTCGTCTTCATGTGCTCCAGCAATAGCTCGAAGATGGGCACGTGTCCCTTGGCGGCGGCGCGGTAGATGGGCAGCACCTTGGTGATTTCGGCGGCCCAGGGGTCGGCCCCCCGGTCGAGGAACAGCCGCGTCAGCTCCTCGTCGTTGGAGTCCACAGCGTGGAAAAGGAGTGACTTGGAGCCCAGGCGGCAGTTGGCGGAGTTCTTGGGCATGAAGTCCTTTATTTCCTTCGCGCCCTTGCGTAGGACGAGCAGATCCAAGAATCTGGAAAGGGCCGGTCGAGGCGGAGCATCGCCACGCCCCATGCCCATCAGAACGGCTGTCAGAGCTTGCTTCCTCCTCAGGACGTCCTCGCTGGCTTCGGATCCAACGGTCTCCTCCAGAGAGGCTCCGGCTGCCACTAGATTCCTGCAGAACTCGATGAGGAAGCCAGAGCGCGGCGCACCACTTCCCTCCGGCAGATACCTGGCGGCGGTGGCCAGCGCAGTGAGGCCGGACCCGTTGTGAGCCTCCAAGTCGATATTATGCCAGTCGAGGAGAAGTTTCGCCGTCTTCTGCAGCGCCTCCTCGGGTTTGGCGTTCTTGTGGATGGCGAAAGTGATGATGTGCAGAGCGCTTTGCCCTTTGTTGTTGCGCGCGTTGACGTGAGCGCCGGCCTCCAGCAACATCTTCACAGCCTCGTGCTGCGCCTCCTTTACGCCCGCCATGAGGGGCGTGTTGCCGTCGTGGTCGGGCGCGTCGAGCACGTCCGCGGAGGGGGAGTTGTCCAGGAGGACGCGCATGCACTTCAGCTTCCCCTTCTGCGCCGCGATGTGTAGGGACGTTACAATGTGGGCGGCCTGCGAGGGGAGGGGCTGAGGGCGCCGCACCTGGTCCTCCGAGAACCTCTGCACGAGCTGCCGCAGCCCCGCATCGTCGTCCCGCTCTAGGAGCTCGTTCACAGAGTCAGCCCGCAGCTGCGGCTTGCCCATCTCCATGGCCGTCACAAGCGGCGTCTTCTGGTTCTCCACGTCAGCCACCATCACCACGCCTGCGGGGAAAGCGGGACGTTAGATGTAACTGGTGAGGAAGTAATAAAAATACTAATGTTAAAGATAATGATAATAATAGTAATAACAATAATAATAAAAATAACAACAACAACAATAAGAAGAATAACAACAACAACAATAATAATAAGCAGATGAAAAACGAAATGTTTGTTTGATGAAACGCCATTGTTACGAAAAATAAAGCAAACATATAAATTAATAAAACACACCAATTACCAAATATTAAAAACTCATTATGAACAAAATAGAGAGTGGGGAGAAAGAGAGAGAAGGAGAGCAAGATATATATATATATATATATATATATATATATATATATATATATATATATATATATATATATATACATATATATATATATATATATATATATATATATATATATATATATATATATATATATATATATACACATATATATATATATATATATATATATATATATATATATATATATATATATATATATATATATATATATACATATACATATACATATACATATACATATACATATACATATACATATACATATGCATATATATATATATACATATATATATACATATATATATACATATATATATACATATATGTATACATATATGTATACATATATATATACATATATATATACATATATATATATATATATATATATATATATATATATATATATATATATATATATAGAGAGAGAGAGAGAGAGAGAGAGAGAGAGAGAGAGAGAGAGAGAGAGAGAGAGAGAGAGAGAGAGACAGACAGACAGACAGACAGAGAGACAGAGAGAGAGAGAAAGAGACAGAGACAGAGAGAGAGAGAGAGAGACAGACAGACAGAGAGAGAGATAGAGAGAGAGAGAAAGAGAGAGGGAGAGATACATACTTACAAGGTCGAATAAGCGAATGAAAGAGAGAGAGAGAGAAGAAGAAGAAAGTTACAAAGAAGTCATTCATACATAAAAAAACAAAAAAAGAAAGAAAAAAACTAAATCAACACATGCAATTGATAACAGTTTCCGGGACTTCCTATTTCTGCATTTTCACTTGTTTCTCTATTTTGTTCATCTTCGTTATTATTTGCTAGTTATTTATCGTTATTTGTTCATCCTTATTATCATTTACTATTACCTGTTATTGCACACCGACATAGGCCTATTAATAGAATCTGATGTAACTAAATGCAGTTCATAAACCAACAAAAACAACGCATAAACAAAGATCATGTTTTCCTTTTTCTTTATTTATTTACTCTTCCTTTCGTTCACATTTCTTGCTAATTCCATTTTCTCAGTTTTGCCTTCTTTTTTTTCCCCTTCTTTATATATATATCCTATCATCTATGATTCATTTCTTCTTTTTTATCTTTTATCCCTATTTATTATTCCCCTTTCCCTTTTGCCCTCTTTATCTCGATTTCCCCCCCCCCCCCATTTTGCTTCCTTCTTGCCCACTTACTCTCACTATCACTTTCATCACTATTACTGAACATTATCACTATCATGTTATCATTATCATTACCATCAGTGCCATTGTCAGTAGTGTCATCGTCATCATAACCCTCGTCATTGTCATAATCATCACTCTCATTATCTTCATCATCACTATTATCATTATGATCACTATTATCAGTGTTATGATCGTCATTATCATCAAAGATTTCGTTATATCATAATTATTATCATCCCTATTATTAATATCTTTCCTTCTTACCATCATTATCACTATCATTATCATGAATGTCATCACTATCATTATCATCACCGTTAATTACTTTCATCCCTATCATTATCGCTATTATAATCATTATCTTCATGACCGTCATTGTCATCATTATTATTATCTGTATCATTATAATTATGATCACTATCCTTATCTTTATCATCACTATCCCTCTCATTATCATCACTACGCTTCCAAGTAATCATCTTTATTTCCTCCTCTTCCTCCTCCTCCTCCTTCTTCCTTTCATCTTCCTCCTCCCTCCTCCTACCAATCCTCCTCCTCCTCCCACTCCCTCTCTTCCCCCCTCCTCCTCCCATTCCCTCTCCTCTTTCTCATTCCTCCTCCCCCTCCCCCTCCCCCTCCTTCTCTTCCCTCCTCCTCCTCCTCCTCCCACTCCCTCTCCTCCCTCCCCCTCCTTCTCCTTCCTCCTCCCCCTCCTCCTTCTCTCTTACCTCCTTGCTTCTCCTCTTCCCCTCCACCTCCTCCTTTTCCCTCCCCTTCCTCCTCCTCCTCCTCCTCCTCCTCTCTTTCCTCCTTCCTCCTCCTTTTCCCTCCCCTTCCTCCTCCCTCTCCTCCTTCCTCCTCCTCCTCCTTACCCCTTTCCCTCCAACAGCTGTAATAATGACACGAATTTTAATCAACTAATTTTAATCAAACTTCACGTCTGGCATCCTTTTGCCCCCTCCCCCCCTCCCCTCCAACCCTCACTATGAGTCACTTGCAGATAAAGAAACAATTAAAACAAATAAACAAGTAAATGAACAAATGAAAAATAAATAAAATGTATAATGTATACTAAAGGGTCAACTGAATGTTTTTTTTCTCTCCTTGTTTTTTTTTCTAATTTTCGTTTAAGTGCGATTAATAATAATTGTTCTTACAACACGAAGTACTTGGCGGAGGAAGCAAAAAGTGATAAATATGAGAAACAGAAAGAGAAAGAGAGAGAAAGAGAAAGAGAGAGAGAGAGAGAGAGAGAGAGGAATAAAGACGACGAAAATTTGAAGAGAGAGAGAGAGAGAGAGAGAGAGAGAGAGAGAGAGAGAGAGAGAGAGAGAGAGAGAGAGAGAGAGAGAGAGAGAGAGAGAGAGAGAGAGGAATAAAGACGACGAAAATTTGAAGAGAGAGAGAGAGAGAGAGAGAGAGAGAGAGAGAGAGAGAGAGAGAGAGAATGAGAGAGAGAGAGAGAGAGAGAGAGAGAGAGAGAGAGAGAGAGAGAGAGAGAGAGAGAGAGAGAGAGAGAGAGAGAGAGAGAGAGGAATAAAGACGACGAAAATTAGAAGAGAGAGAGAGAGAGAGAGAGAGAGAGAGAGAGAGAGAGAGAGAGAGAGAGAGAGAGAGAGAGAGAGAGAGAGAGAGAGAGAGAGAGAGAGAGAGAGAGAGAGAGAGAGAGAGAGAGAGAGTGAGTGAGAGAGGGGAATAAAGACGACGAAAATTAACGCTTAAGAATATTGTACTCTGAAACAAAATGTAACGCGGCGTGCAAACACCGTAGATTTGTCCGTTGGCCTATTTTTACATCTCATTCATTCATCTTCTTTTTAATTCCAAATAAAAACAATACACGCTAGAATCTGATAAAGGAATGAATAAAAATGAAAAAAATAATTAACTGCATCACTGACTCATTTGCCTCAGTGAGTCACATTCACATCACCAAACCAGGTCGATGAGTCACATTTGTTTCTGGCAAAGAATGGATTCACATAGTTACTAAATCACATCTAATTGTCGGTAATAGTAACACTGATATTGCATCACATCTTGGCTATTAATATCCCAGTTATTGCAGAACCCTAATATCACCATCACTATGCACCATCACTGGGCACTATTCACATCGTGGAAAGTAACATCACTCTCAGTTCTCATCATAATTTCACAATCACCATTCGGATCATGAAGAGTAACATCACTATTACTTCACATCAAAATGATATCATTATCAACATTCATATCATGAGTAATAACTTCATTAATAGTAACATCACTATCACCATTCACATCATGAATTGTAACATCACTATTACTTCATTTCGTGACTAGTAATTCCACTATTACTTCAGAATAATTGTATCACTAGCAACATTCATATCTTGAATAATAGCATCACTGTCACCATTAGCACCATGAATTGTAACATCACTATTTCTTCATTTCGTGACTAGTAACTCCACTATTACTTCAGAATAATTGTATCACTAGCAACATTCATATCTTGAATAATGGCATCACTGTCACCATTAGCACCATGAATTGTAACATCACTATTACTTCAGATCATGACTAGTAATTATTATCACTTTTACCATTCACATCATGAATAATAGCATCACTAACATTTCACATCAGAATCATAATATCACAATCAACATTCACATCGCGAATAATAACATCATTATTTCTGTTCACATCAGAATAGCATCATTATCACTATTCACATAATTATTTCGTATGTTAAACTAAAGCATAGTAGGTAACGTTTCCTATCTTCTATATATTTTTTTTTATATATATATATATATTCTATTTTCTATTTCCACGATACAGTTATATATCATATAACATTGATGAACAAAATGTACAAATCACACAAAGGATTTTATGTCATATCTATATCTTTATCTATCTATCTATCTATTTATTATGGCATTTCTGATATCACCATTATTATCAAACTAATTTCTACCTTTTTTCTTCCTTTCCTTTCACGCCCACTTTCTCTTCAGTAACTCCCTCCCCCTCTCTTTCTCCTTTCTTAGCAATTCTTTCCTTTATTCGGTTCTGTTTATGTTAAAAGATCTTCAAGGGAAATGTCCAAAACTTTTTTTTATTCTTAAACTTTTTGACAATTGGAACAATCTGGTAGCGTGTAAACTTGCGTGGAATTGCGCCATCTGGGTCTCTGTATACGTCCTCCTCCCCCGCCCCCCCTCCCCCTTCTCTAAAACCTTTCTTCCACCCACTGCCACCTCCACCTCCACCCCCACCACTACCCCCCCCCATCCCACTTTCGCACTTGGTCTTGGTAGTCCGTGCAGACTTCCCCTCCCCTCCTCCTCCTCCTCACTCTCCCTCCTCTAACCTCTTCCCCTCTCTCCCCTCCCCTTCTGCCCCCTATCCCTGACCCTCCCCACTCCTCTCCATCGCTAAACCCCTCTCCCCCCCTCCCCCTCCCCGCGCCTTTCCCTCACCCTCCCCCCTACCTCCCCTCCGCGCCTTCCCGTCTCTAAGAATAACTCTCGCTGCCTCCTCTTTAAATCTCCCCCACCCCCCTACCCCCACCTAGGCTTCTCCGGCGCTTTAAATAACTTTTTTCGGCACTGGTTGTCTTTGTTTCGCTGTATCTTCTTCGTTATTTTCGACTGCAGAGGCGCGTAGATCAATGATTTCTCGACCTTGGACGAAGAGGCAAAGAGAGATCAAAGTCCGCCATCTTGGATGAGTTGGCCAGGCACCCTGCGCGCCTCTCGAGAAAGGAAAAATTTTGAGATTCTTCCGCGGAATGTTTTCATGGAGATATTAGAAGGAGAAAAGAAAATCCCATCGATGATGACAGACACTTCGCTTTATCTTAGACCAAATAGGATGTTTAAGAACGATTCATCTCTTCTTCAATCCCGAAATTCATCGTCATTGGTTTGCCACACCCACTGTTCTCGTCACTATGGCGTTCGTTCCCTTAATTCATTTTCTTTCACAATCGAGACTGGTCTGACATCCACAAAGCACAAACAAAACAAACGAACAGCTGAGAGACTGACCGGAAATCCGCCAATGCAGAAATCTGTACTATTCTTTCTCTCTGTGTCCGGTCCAGCTAACTCGCCCATCCGCCCTCACGCCCGCGCGCGCGCCCTCGTTAACTCACCTGTCACAGCGGAATATGAGGGCGGCATGTGGTACGGGGTTTAGGGGGAGAGGCCCAGTGTCGTGTGGGCATACTAATCTTTGTCGTCAAGTCCTTTGTTCAGCTTCCGTTGAGGTATTTCGTCAACTCTCAAACTGGCATTTGGGCAAAGAGCGACACAGATCGAGCGAGAAGTAACGAGCTGAGCTTTCATATTTCTTTCTCGTGTTTTGGTAGAAATATTTATAACAACAAAGATCAGACAAATAACAAAGAGTGCCTTGTGTTTTTCTTTTTTCTTTAACCTTGTCTCTTTGTATGTCGCTATATCACTCGCATTTCATTCCTTATATTGGCACTCGCTCATCGTACTATGATCACCTTTTCGCGTCGTCTTTATCCCGTTCTTTCAGTTTTTCCCCCGTTTTAGCGATAATTAAAAAAAAGACTTTTAAATAACATTCTCTGCTCGTGACGTCATCAAAGATCAAGCACAGTTATGACCTCATCACGAAGCCATGTTGGGGGGAGGGAGAGAGTCCAACGCCATATTGCTTCTCCCTCTCTCCTCCTTCGCCGCCAAAAGAGACTCCGAGACCTCGCACTCACACGGTGGTGGCAGGAAGAAGAAGGATGAGGAGGATTAGGAAGACTCCGAGGAAGGACGGCAAAACAGGCTTCCTCCTCCTCGTTGAAAGTCCTTCGGCAAGATCCTGGAAGCGAGGGATCCCGAGGAGTCGCGCGCTGAGGTCCTTCGTCCGCCGAAGAGCTGCCGAGGACTCTTCGCGTTCGTGGCGCCGCGGCTCAACTAAAAGACCCGCGGGTTGGCCACTGCCGAGACCGGACGCCGCACGAGCGCTGTTGCCAAGTCAGGCTTCCTCTGGCCTGGCACTCGCTCTTCTGGTGGGGGTCCATGTGGCAACGCTGCTGCTGACACTGCTGACACTTTGCTGCTTTTCTGAACAAGTGACATCAGCGCGATACAGGGGCATTGTAGCTGCTATTCTGTGTTTTGTTCTTAATCCCCCTATTCAGGCTTTCAGGACAGAAACCGTGACTCCGCGATGCATGTAAGCTGTAGACGCGAGTCAACACCAGATTTCACAAGCCGAGAATACGATCTCAGAACATGTACACCTGTAGATGCATACACGCACACGAACACGATCGCTCGCATATGCAGTTATACACACGAACACGCTTCAATACGTACAAACACACACCCAAGCACGCTTCTATACAAACAAACTATCACACAAGTACACCGCTATACGCACAAACACACACACACACAGTTATACTCACAAACACAAACACACATATGCGCATGTGTACGCAATTACTCACAAACACCCGCACACAAAAATACACTGACAGATATTTATAAAACACATACATCCACAAACACACACACACACAAGCAAACATCAACAAACATACAAATAAACAAAAATAAAACAAACACAAACACGTAAGCGCACAAACACTACAATGCCCACTGATAGTAGCTGCTACAACAGCAACAATATAATATGTTAATGAAAATAATTCTTATGAATAATGAGTGCATACTAAACGCCTTTCTACGCTCTTGTCTTGACACTGAACTTCTTGATCTGGCAGGAGAAAAGGAAGGAGAAGAAGAAGAAGAGAAGGAGAAGAAGAAGAAGAGAAGGAAAAGAAGGAGAAGGGGAATGAGAGGGAGAGGGAGAAGGAGGAGGAGAAGGAGAGGGAGGAGAA